TCGTTCGTTAATAAGTTATATCGTTCCTTCACGTTGTACGTAATTGCATACTCTATTAGCAAATCCTATTGTGCTTTTTGAGGTACATCTATCGTCATCCATTGTTGTATTATGCTCAGGCTCGTGCGCGCATACGCTCGATCGCTTCAACGTGTAAAGGTGTTGGTTACATTGGACTACTTCGAACAAGCCGTAGATACTGTGCAATGCGCTAATGCAAAACGTAATTAACGTCGGAACTGAATCGTTTACGGTCGATTGAAACGGAAAGACTCGCTGTATATCGTTTTAAACGAAAACTTGTATTCGCTAAGGGCAATCCGTTTTTCAGGAATATTTTAATATAGAGTAAGTTCGACGGTAAAGTTCCTTTCGAATGTTCGAGGATAAAAGTATTAGTTCGAGAGTTATGATATTAAAAGTTAATCGAGACAAATTCATAGAACACCTTTTCCGCATTCTCTTTATCCTTTATCCCTATCTCTATATCTCTTTCGCATTAGAGTCTAGAAGGGAAAGCAAGAATTTCATTCGGACGGAGGTTTCCTCTTCCGCCGGTTCGACGCCGCGTCAAACTAAGATGAGATCTGGCCCGTCTTGCGCCCTCCTCTTCCCCTCGCTTTTAATTAGACGGATTAATTGCACCGGGCCCGCGAGTCATGAATTCTCCATCCAACAGGCACGGCCAACGGCCGGGTCCTCTCGTACTACCCACTTTGAAAGATCTTTGGAAAGTCGGACGATAAACGAACTCGAGAGGACTCGTTCGCGGTTTCGACTTGAAATTAGAGAGAAACGCACTCTGAAAAAGACGCCAATCTCGGAGAAAACAATAGTCGAGGAAAATTTGCAAATACGTTTTTTCCTTTACGAAGTTACGCTATGTATCAGATGAGTCAAAGGAAATGTAAGGAATCGATAAATGAAAATGAAAGGGTAACGTTTCGTTTGGTCGTTATCGCTCGACATTTGGCAGGAGGCGGTCTGGCGAAAGATCACCCCGAGGAAAAAAGCTCGTTCGACGTATCTCGACGAGGGAAATAAAAAGGGAAAAGGGTCAAAAAAAGAAACATAGAACGGGGGTTTGGCGTAATGGAAGCATGCTGGTCGACGGCTCGAAGAGCGAACGAGGGAAAACGAGGGAGAACGTCGCGCCGATGAAAATCTTTTTGAAAGGGGCCGTTCGTGACTGTCCGTCAGCAATCGCGGACGCGAGCAGCAACGATCGCAACGAACGAAAGTTCGTTTGCGAGCGAGCTCGCAAACTCGAACGCGCGCGATATTCGTGACGACCGAGAAACCGGAGCAACGGCCACGTTCGGGGTTCTATCGAGAAACGAATCGAGAAACCAACGACGACTGTGACATTTAATACGCGTATGTATATGCGCCAGTACCAATTCTCAATACGAATTTCGCCTCGATCCTATAAACTTTTTCTTCCTTCTCTCTGCTTCGGTTTATTTTGTACGTTTTTGAAACTAGTCATGCATTGGGCGAATTCGACGAGCGATCCCTCGAATCCTTCGATTTCTTGCCGAAATGAATCTCTCTCTCTCTCTCTCTCTCTTCCACGATGGAAAGAAAAGAGGCCGTGCTTTTTGGCCTGGAAATTCGATATAAAGAGAAAGCAGTGAGAGGGAGATAGGAGAATATTTCTTCCTCGTAGTCGTTATATGCGTTCTAAGAATTTGTCCGATCAAATCCAACGACTGGTTGGTTTTATATAGATATATCTACGTGTTCGATCTCATTCGTTTGCGTTTCGCAGAGATGTTGAATAACCGACGAACTTGCCAACGTGTCACCGCAAACAAAGGAGACATATATATATGTATATAAAGGGCGATTTTTTTCCTCTTCTTGTTACAATTGTGCCGTGTCAAATTAATATTAATTATTATCTGTGGTGTCCGTATTTACGATTATATCGTTCGTCGATCGGAAAAGCTTTTCGTTCGAAAAGCTTTTATTTATATAAAATAGGGACGGGGAGAGAGTGGCGAAGTATATTGCTGGTCTATATTTCACGTTTCACGGAAGAATTACTCGCTCGTCGAACTTTAAAAAACGTCGAACGCGTTCTATTCGAACACGTAACGGTTCACTTTTTTAACGATTTACATTTATTTCTCGATAGAACGGTCTGATACGCTGTACCATCGGAGTATGCACACCGATGATCGAAAAGCGAGCAATGAAAAATGTCGAACGCGTGTTCGCGATAGGATCTACGAATTGACCAAGGTCTGGGTGAAAGCGCGCGGCCGTTTTCGATAAGCTGATTCATCGAACGCAATTTTAATAACCTCTCCGAGTCCTTTTCCGTCTATTTGTTTCACCGCATGTCTCCGTTAACTTGGAGAAGAAAGGTGAAAGAGAAAAGAGAATAGGATGAAAAAGCGCCTCTCACCGCGTCATGGAAACAAATTGCACACTGATAAGATTAGTTTTAGAACGTTGCTATCTCGTTTCGACGAAGCGAGATTACAACGCCGGAAAAGGATGGGGCATTCGTACAAGATGAATCGAATTCGTATCTCTCTTCCTAACAATTTTTAACCATCACGAAAGTTCGACGACGACGACGACGACGACGACGACGACGGAGGAGGGGGAGAGCTCGCGTGACTTTCCTAACTTGATTAGTAAGAGCGATTAGCTGGCTTCGTGACTAACTCGAGAAAATGCGAGAGGAAGGCGACAAAACGCGTTTTACCCTCGCGCGAATCCGTCTCAAAGTACCTCTCTCTCTCTCTCTCTCTCTCTCTCTCTCTCCTTTTATTCATCCTTTTCTCAAATTATTCGAATCGGAAGAATATCTTCGACTTTCCCATCCTACGAGAACTTCCTTAGCGATAACGATTCTTTCGTTATCTCGAAATAACGTTACCACGTTGGATTTGCATGAGTTGAAACGCGATACGAATAATCGAAAAGACGATACGAGCAGGAAGGCTTAGAAAAGAAAATCTCTTTTATCGCGAACGAATAGCCGAGGCTAAATAATAGAAATCGATTGGATAATACTTACGAGACGAAACGAGAGATAATTCGCCCGAGATATTTCTTTCTATCGTCACGTTTCATCTCTTTCTATCCGCACAGTTTTTTATTATCATCATTTTCCATTATATAATCGTCCCAGGGAGTTGCCATATGGTAACTATATAGAAAATTGCATGCACGTCGATTATGCGTCTTGTCGCGAGAAGAATTTACATCGTAAAACTTGTGCAACGTTTTACCCGTCTCTTCCTTCTCCCTCTTCGTCGTTCGCTTCTGTGCGAAGCCTTGACACGGCCGCGTCAAAATGTGTACTACGAGTTTGCACGTAATAACAGAGAGAGAGAGAGAGAGAGAAAGAGAAAGAGAGAGAGAGAGAGAGAGAGAGAGAGAGCTTTCGTGCTCTATCGAAAGCAGCATCGCTGGCTTGTATATCCGACAAGCGACACAGTCACGAAGGAGTCACGAGAGAGTCACGAGAGAATAATTTTCATCGCTCGTCCGGGACGAGTCTATTCTCGCGGATCGATCCTTTCTCGACTTAGCACGAATTCAGAAGGACTTCATTTTCGAGACAACCCGAGATATGAGCGAGATGCGAGAGAAGCTCCTTTTCCTCCCTCTCCCTCTTCTTGTCCCCCTTTAGAGTTTATCGAATCGAGATTGGTTTGTTAAAGTTCACCGATCATTTCCGGAGTAACAGACTGTTGGCCCGTGGAAGGGTCGAAGACCGGAGGCGAACGGTTTCAAATTTCATCCAATTATCGACTGTCGATGCCGCCTCGACGACCAAGCTCTCGCTAACTTCGTACGTCGTAGCCATTTCAGAGGATCGATTCGATCTTCTAGAGAAAAGAAAGATTCTATCTATTCTTTGATACGAAGAGAGAAGCAACCATTTTCTATTCATTTTCTCCTTCTTCTTCATTCCTCTTTGCTTTCTTATTTCTTCACGTACCTACGCGTATATACGTTTTAACTCCGCTGACGCTTGCGCCCATTTTTCGTATTATTTTATCGGGAAACGAGCCACGATTAACTTCGTTACATAGTATAATTAAGTAGTATGATTAACTCGTTAGACAATTTTTGATGATCATTTTAAAATGATTTTCTCTGGCTAACGAGCGAGATAGTCGATCGCAGCGACGTCTATAGGCGAATTTCCATCGATTGTTACCGCTCGTACATCTTACCGATGTTCGATACGTCAGATTTTTACCAATCTCTTCAGCGGGTAAGATTTGACTTTGTCGTCGAAGAAATCCAAATTATGATTTAACGAGAGATTCGAATCGACCGAGTTTCGATATTTAGCTCTAAACAAAACGCAACAAATCTTACGAGTCGATAAATCTATTTAATTAGGAGCCCGATAACCGTCAACGAAGGCTAAATGAAAGATATTATACGGCTTTGATCTTTTCAACGATTTCAAGAAAACTTTTGCAGAACGTCAAATCTTGTCGAAAATTTCAATTAGATTCTTTCTTATTATTCGATAAAGAGGAAGAAAGGAGAAACCACCGGATAAGCCAGCAGAGAGGAGAGAGAGGAGACAAATGCGATATGGAAAATGATAGAAAGAAGGAACGAACGAACGAACGAACGAACGAACGAACGAACGAACGAACGAACGAACGAAAAAAGACTTAACACAGTGGTACGTAAAGTATAATAGACGTAATGTATTTAATGTAATAACATAAACAAGATAATGGTTTTGTACAAATGGTTTATATGTATAAAAGTCATTTTCAGCAGCGAGCGCGATATGGAAACGGCACGACGGCTGAAATTTCGATCTATTACGAGTGGGTTCTCGCGAGATTATTCTCCTCGTATATCGAAAGGAGAAAGGGCTCGCCGTTGGGTAAAAAGGAAAGGAGATTACACGATTACAGATGGACGAAGACAAATGCACGAGAACATCGAATGGGCACGAATATAAAACATTAAATCCCACGCTTTCGTATTTGAGCTTTTTCCCAAGCTTTCTCTTTTTTATTTCTCTTTGCCTTTCAATTTTTTTCTTCTTTCTTTTTTTTCTTTTTCTCTTTTTTTCCCTTTTTCTCGTTTTCTTTCCTGCGCCTTCGCAATAGAGATCATATCGTAAATAACCCTACACCGCTTTTCAAATTGGATTAATTTTCAATTAACCTTCGTCAACTTAACTTCGCCTTAAGTAGCTATCCTCTCGTTGTAGCCTTGCAAACATTTTATATCGCGATCACCCAATCAAGAATAGATATATGTATTTACAAGCGCCTTTTTTATCATTTAACACTGAACCTGTTAATCGCGGGGCTGGACTCGAGTTACAAAGGTTTCACTCTTATTTAAAGAAAAAAAAAAGTCCTCCACCTATTCTTCTTCAATCGACGACCATCCAAAGTTTCCTAATCTAATTTTATTTTTATTCAATCAAATGTAATCGAGTCGAAATAAATTTCATTCATTTGCGATAGAAACACGCGCTCACCGATCGAAAATGTCCTCCCCGGTAAACAGGCTAAAAGATAAATGCGGTACGTCATCCCGTTGAGAAGATTTGCCCGCTTATTAATACTATTCGAATAATCTTATGAAATAGAAGTAAAGGAATCGATTTCGCAAGTCGTTTCAAAATTCGAAAGATACGCCGAGCGTTATCTGTGATAGTCGTAGCTCGTATTGGTAAAGAGCGTGGCCTTGAGCGTGATCGATGAGAGAGACGCGTAATGCGAAACCTCCGAGTCGCTGTCCTTTTTCGAGCATTTCCTCCTCTTTTTATCACTTTTCTCACTTCTCTCACTTTTCTCACTTTTATCGTGTCTCCAGAGTCTGTGAAGTGTCAAGGAAGCCTTGGTATGATAAGGCTTGTAAGTGGACGATGTGGACGCGAGCGCATCGTCGGGACACATGCGGCACTTGAGAAGTCTCGGTGCGAGTAACCTTTCGGCCGAGCCTTCGCCAGGATCTTCGGCCGGGCCTTCGTCAGGATCTTCGGCCGGGTCTTCGCCAGGATCTTCGGCCGGACCTTTGCCAGGATCTTCGGCCGGACCTTTGCCAGGATCTTCGGCCGGACCTTTGCCAGGATCTTCGGCCGAGGCTTCGCCAGGATCTTCGGACGGGACTTCGCTAGAATCTTCTAAGCAACTTCTCTTTCGATTTTTCATTGCTTTTCCCTCGCTTACGTCGGTCCCACTTTCGAAAGGTCTCAACTCCTTCGGTGGATCACTCGAAAATATTATCGGTTGCTCTTCGTCTTCAACCTCGCAACCGACAGCCTTCCTCGGTTGTCTCTGCTTCCTGGATCGCCTCTCGCTCGGTTTCTTCTCCTCGCTATACCGCACCTCGCGAAGGCGTTCCAAGTTGATGGAAAACGTGGAATAGCTCTTCTCGTCGTCGGGAAAACTTCGGTGATAGTTGATGCTGCACGTAAAATGACGATTAGACGTTAAGACCGAATCACGATCACGAGAAACGCTTTCGATATCGCTGACGCGACCATATTCGCCGCAGTCCTTGTCCTCCCCGTTGTCGTGCTCGAGTCTTTCGAGGTCGAGAAGACCTCGAGACCTTCGCCTCTCTTCCTCCAACGGATATGCCATAGTCGCTGCAGTTGCAGGTGATTTTACCATCTCGTGGCTGCAACCACCGCGGCACTGTTCCATAAGTTACGTTCGCGTCATTTTTCTATCAATTAATCAGCATCCGTCATACGACGAGATAAAGACACAAAGAAGGAAAAAGTCAGATATAGACAGCGAGCGAGCGAGCGAGCGAGCGATAGAGAGAGAGACAGAGACAGAGAGAGAGAGAGAGAGAGAGAGAGAAAGAGTGTGTGTGTGAGAGAGAGAGAGAGCGAAAAGGAAGATAAGAAAAATCAAAAGTGAAACATCTAGGTAGGAAACCAACATATTCTACGACATCGAAAGCTGAAAGAAGCGTGCAATTCTGATTAAAGAAAATGTCGCAAAAAAATGACGCGAGAACGTAACATAACATGGAGGACAGGTGATGCTGGAGGTAGAGCGGGTAGCACAACAACGAAGGACGAGTCGTGCGTTCGAATACCATGCGACAGGTCACAAAAAATGAGACGTACACCGATAACATTTTTCTATATTAATACTTTTTTTTTTTCTGCCACGTCCCGTATTTTTTGTGACCCATCGTCGATCGTTCAACGATAAAAGTAAATCTTAAAATAGAAAATTCAAGAAAAATAGAAAAAATAAATTGCTCATGCATTCGTACGTGCTCTACGACCAACGGCATTAGCAGTCTGTGTGTGCTAGCCTGCGTACGCGCGTCTGTCGTTCGGCCCGACAAGAGAATTTATGTTTATCAAAATTTGTCCTCAAAATAAAGAGAAAAAGAGAGAGAGAGAGAGAGAGAGAGAGAGAGAGAGAGAGAGAGAGAGAGAGAGAGAGAGAGAGAGAGAGAGAGAGAGAGAAATAGATCGGTAAATGCAGAAAGACAGATAGAGACAGCGAGAGACAAAACGAGATCATTCAAATGAAATAAAACGCGTTAATGCGAGCCCGAGCTTTATCAACTATGCACATATTTATTGACAGCATAAAAGGACGAAATGTCAATTAGCGTGACATCGGAACGTCGGAATTTTAATCGATCGTAAATAGGTCGAAAGCCGTTCCTACACCCCCTTCCTATTGCTCGACACAATATTTGCACGTAGCGTACGTTATTCGTTGAAAGGTAATCGTTCATCGTTCATATCGGCACGATAAAATCCGCGTGAACGTATTTGCGTACGCGCGAGGCTGTTCGTGAGATTAGTTTGTTAAAAAGAAAAGAAAAGGGGAAAAAACAAAAAAAAAACAAAAAAACAAAAAAGAAAATATAAAGAAAAAAAAAAACGGGGATTAGCGGAGCAAATACCGAAAATACCGGAAAATAAAGAAACTCTATAACGAAAGCGAATAGAATGGAGTAGCAAAACTCGACACCGCTATCGGCTTACCCGAGTATAGTGGTCGGTGGTATTACGGTGGTGGCAGGTGTGATCGCCGGCGCTGGTGCGGGGAAAACCGGTGGACCAGGTGGCGGTCGTCCTCCAGCAGCGGGACTGTAAATTAACGGAGGATCGTCGATAATTAAGCTTTACGCTCGGTACGATTCGATAGCGCATGAAAATAAAATGCGCGTGAAAGAGAAAATATCTTACTGAATGGGCTGTTGCTGACGATTGGTAGGCGGTGGCGCGGCTTGTGCCGTCGAGCTCGTAGCCGGTGCGTTGGCGCTGCTAACGCGATGCACGTGCAATTGATGCATCTGCAACTGCGCAGCGTCTTCACCGAGGAAGGAACATCTCGAGCACTGTCTTCTGTTGTGTACCTTGAGCACGTGCGTCGAAAGACGCTCGGCACGTGCCGCTTTGTACTCGCAAAGCATGCAAGCGAACGGCTTCAAGTGCGTATTCAGATGACGCTTTAGGCACCAATTATCGACTCCGCTCCACGAACAATAGCTACAGGTATACCTATGCAACTCGTATAATTATCTCGTTCGTACAAACTGGTTCGTAGGCGATAGCTAGGTACGTAAATATCTCTACGTTACCTTCTTTCTTGGGCTCCTTTCGAACCTCCCTTCAAATGACTTTTGCTGTTGCAGCCGCCATTTTGTACTCTTCTACCCGTCCCACAGTTGTTTCCATCCGGTTGCATAATACCTGGCGCCGGCATAGTCGTTGCTTGATATATTCCTGTCGTACCCGCGGTCGTACCAGATCCAGGATTAGGCTGCAATTGATAACTTTTGTTGCCATTGTAATTGGACGAATACGTAGCGTGTTGCTGCTGTTGTTGCTGTTGTTGTTGTTGTTGCTGCTGCTGCTGTTGTTGCTGTTGCTGTTGTTGTTGTTGTTGTTGCTGCTGCTGCTGCTGCTGCTGCTGTTGCTGCTGCTGTTGATTAGCATTATTACCGGTAGGCGTTGCATTTGAATCCTGTTGCAATGGCTTGGGAGCGGTCGTTCCGGCCGGTCTTCTTATTCTGGACAATTCGTAGCCGTGCTCACGGTGCATACGGAGAAAGTGTTTCTTCACGTGATCTGCACGATTGAACGGCTTATAGCAAATGTAACAATGGAAGGGCTTTTCCTCACGGTGAATATTTTCGTGACGCGTGTATAGGTCCCGTCTATCGGTACCGTAGGGGCAATACGGACAAGTATATCTTTTGCTGCTGGCCGATGTCGTAGCCGAAGTCGGCATCGTTGCTGAGTTCTACAATGAAAATCGGTAAAAAGATAGATAGAGTAGCGCACTGAAGAAAAAAAACGAGTAAGGTAAAATGTAAGGAAAGAAATGTGTAGTAGGCGATTTACCTGATGTAGGTGTTGCGGCGCTGGGGCGGACGGTAATTCTTGCAAAAGAAAGGTCGAGGTCATCGGTAATAAAGCGGCAGGTACGGTCTGCGTTTCCTGAGTCCTCCGGGAAGGTGGCGCAGCCGTTTCCGCGCGTTCCCTCAATCTTTCCAAATAGGATACGACTTCTTCGGCCTTGAGCTCCGTCTGCATATAATCCTTACGAGGCGAATGGTGTCTGTTTCTGCTGTCGTCGGCGAGAATCCTCGACGAGTGTAGTTCCATAAAATGTTCAGCGACCTCTCGTGGGCCACCTCCCATAACGTCGCCTATTTTTACACAAAATTTACTACGAGAAAAACTTTAATACGACCGACGTAGATTTTCGTCTACCGTATTATAATAACGTAGTATAATATATACGTTGAGGGAGCAACGAACGTACCGCACTCGTAGCATCTCCACGTTGCCTTGCCGGCGTGATAAGCAGCTATTCGGCTGCCATCGGTGCCTTTAAGAGGTTCTTCCTCGCAAGTCCAATTACCTTCGTCGCTTCCGTCCGTACCATTTCCGGTGTCCTCGTCGTTCTTGTACGATACGGAGGTCTCGAATTCGTTTTGCACGCTCGAAGCTACAATACAGCGAAACAATGTGAAAACAATGGCAAATGGAATTAGAAGGCTACCGTAGAAGGAAGAAAACGAGTATATGGGAACACGATATTTGGTCATTGTATTTGCTTCTAGAGATAATAATATAGAATCGATTTTATATATTGACCAAATACATAGATAATATAAGAAAAGAGAGATATTTTAGAGGGAGAAAGAAATATTAAATCGTTCTCGATATAAACTTAGTCGATAAATTTATACTTCTGTGATCCGGATCCTCTCCGTAAAGCTTCCGAGTAATTTCCTTGAACATATCCTCGTAGCAGTCCAACCTGCTAACAGTACCGCTACCCTCCATCTTTGAAGTCCTCAGTGGTCGGCCACTATTCCTGGAACAATAATCCTTCCCTCGCGATGGTCGTTATACAGGGCCCTCCTACCTGCATACAAAGTCGTCTTTGTAAACTCTGACAAACGGGGAAAGTCCAAAATGTACGAGACATCCTCTCTTTGTTGGTTATTAACGTTAGAAAACCCGATTCTCTTATAAATAGTGACTCATGCAACGAGAAAGATAAAACGCAATCGTGGTTGGAAAATTAAAGGGCGATCGGCCATGCTACCCATTCTCTCTTTGTTTAGGTTCTTTACGTAGAAATGAAAAGCAATGCTTTATGCGTACTGTCCGCGTCGTAGGTTGTCGTGGTTGGAAAAGCAAAAAAGGACAGGAACTATGTCATCGTTGCCCTTCTCGAACGCCCGACTTCGGAGGATACGATTAACGAGCTGTCACACTTTTTATCTATGCCCCGGAAAGAAGCGCGCTTTCCATCAGTTCGAAAGCTCGAAACGGCACTTTTGCGAGATTACGTTTCATCTCGTGACGGCGGCTGTTTCTTTAAATCGGCTTTTCTCGCGAACTCGTCGAGTAGAGGAAAGAGGAAACAAATTATCTCTACTAGGTAACACGCTTGCTACGTCCGTAATATCGTTTCTTCTAGACAAGCACGAAAGTAACATTAAGAGATGATCTTGGGAAATAAAAGAAAGTAGGAAGATGGAAAAACAAAACTATCCTTACAGACTCGAGAATAGTAAAGGCCGGAGGGATGGGCCGGGGAGGCCGGGGGAAAATATCCTACCGCGTAAAATATTATCGAAAGGACGAGCCTGCGAAAGTGTCTTATTATCTTTACAGGTAGTACCGTAAAATCTTAACGGTACGGCAAAGAGCCGCTGTAAATAATTTTGACAAAAAGGGTCCCCCATCCTTAATTTCTCCATTATTTTTTCAATATTACTTTACGAAAGAGAAAGTGTTCGATTCTATGAAAAGTTACGAAAAACATTTTATTTATGCTTACTCTCGAGAGAAAAGGGAAAAAAGGAAATATGAGAGAGAAAAACTTTTCGATGGTTTCTCGACGTCGAACGTTTCAAAAGCGAAAGGGGTTGGAATTTTTCAAGCGAGTTTAGACGAAGGGGAATCGGCTCGTATCCTCTAATTCTCACGCGGCTGCCTTCAATTCTCTCTCTTTCTGTCTGTCGGGGGCGTGTTTCGGAACGGCTGGGAAGGTCGACGAGGCGTTGCGCGCGCGCGCGCGCCCGTACTCCCGACCACACGGCCGAACATGTTGGGGACTTGGAACCGCGAATTCTCTCTCTCTCTCTCTCTCTCTCTCTCTCTCTCTCTCTCTCGCTAGAGAAGAAAGGCGCTAACGACTTCTCTTCTAGCGGCTTCCCGAACTATAGTGGGATTAGAGTCGAAGTAGTTAGACGAAGTATATACGAGGTCGCAACCACCATCCAGCCACCGCACACCGTCGTGTGTAGCTTCTATACGATTACGACGACTATATGGTGTTTCAGAAGGAAGGCAAATATGAAAGCGAGAGAGAAAGATAGTTGAAGCGTAAAGCAAATCGATCAGCTATTTACTACTAGAGGGACAAATTTCTCTGTTTCGAGAGCAAAAAAAAAAAAGAAAAAAAGAAAAAAAAAGAAAAAAAAAGAAAAAAAAAGAAAAAATAGAGAGAAAAGAATATTCATCGAGCATCCCTCGGCATTGATATCTCGTAGCTCGAGAAAGCAAGTATTTAAATATACATACTTACGTAAGCCACGGAAGGGAAGTAAACCTATCAAAAAGAAGTCTCGTAAGATCGATCGTACGGATCGAAGAGGGTAGTTCGGAAGGAAGTCGGACGATCTCGTAGAAAAGAGAGAGGGTGGTTAAGTGCACCGGTGCGTGCGCCGTGTACTCTAGAGAAGCTCGAGGAGGGACCTCGCTAGTATTGATCGTGCTCGAGGAAAAAGGAGGGGAAGTAGGAGAAAGAGAAGCTCTCCCTGGCATAAGTCCCACTTTCTCTCGTACGTAGGTACGAGTAAGTTGTACGCGCTTGCGCGTAATGACAAGAGTAGGGGCAAAGGAGGGTACGCAAAACGGTAGGTAGAGAAGAACCGAGAAAGGACAAGGGCTGAGTTCTCTTCCCCTACTTTTGCTAGAGAAATAAATCAATATTCCCCTACGACGTCGAGCCCGTGGAAACGACAGATGTTTCGCTGAATTGCCCAGGAAGAGAAAGGGGAAAGGAAGACTGAAGAGTTTTGTCCCGTTAGTCGAATGAGAGCCACTGCTGGAAGGAAAACGGTCGACGATGAGAGAGGAACTCTGGCCGAGGGAGTTGCGTGGGGAGAGTGGAAGAGAAAGGCAAAGTGGGGTAGAGGGAGGGGGAGGGGGAGAGAGAGAGAGAGAGAAAGAGAGAAAGACGCACGCGCGCGCGCGCGCGCAGTACGCCATTCAAATTCATCCGGAAATTATTGCCGGCTAGGCCAAGGACGGTAGAGAGCAGGTCTCCCTCTCGTCTCGCTCTCCATCGAGGAAGAGAGAGAGAGAGAGAGAAAGAGAGGCGCGCGCGCGCATACACACATACACACGCGCATAAGCGCACGCACACACATGGATGCACGCCTATGAGGGAAGAGAGAGAGAAAAAGAGAGGAACTCTCGTGAAAGAGAAGAGTGAAACGTGTAGGAGGATTCTCTGGTTGGTTGGTTGGTTGGTCGGTCGGTTGGTCGGTCGGTTGGTCGGTCGGTTGGTCGGTCGGTCGGTCGGTCGGTCGGTCGGTCGGTCGATCGGTCGATCGGTCGGTCGGTCGGTCGGTCGATCGGTCGATCTGGCGTCGGCCGCTGGCGTCGGCCGCTGGCGTCGGCCGCTGGCGTCGACCGCTAGCGTTGACGACGCACGCACAAACGAAAAGGAGGCGCTCTCGGCGCCGTTGTCTTGCTCGCGATTCCAAATAGAACGGCAAAAGTTGTCCGGAATCGTGCGTTTTTGAAATCGTTTTCGTATTTTTCAACGTTATATATGTCGCCGTCTCGTCCGAGTTCTCTCATCATCGCGTCCAAGTTATCGAGATATACGCGATAAGCGCGCTACGACGATCGTCCCTCTCCTTTTCATCCTCTCTCTCTCTCTCTCTCTCTCTTCTTGTCGAGATATATACAGAGCTCACGATATATGGACGGGCCCAGAGGCGCGCGCGCGTACTCTGCGACGCGCCGTCGCCAAGAACGGAACGCGCATCATCGACGCGAATCCTCTTCCTTTCAACGCGACCTATCGAGAATCAAGATTTCTTCCTTCTCGCGAGCGAAAACAACACGCGAAGCAAGCACACCGATGGGAAAACACAAGGAAAGACACTCTACACGACACTCCTCGACAACGCGTTGCGACAGCACGACACACGGACGAATATGACGCGACCATCTTCTCTTTCTTTCTTTCTCACTTTATCCATTTATCTCTGCGTGACCACGCGGAACTACGAATAATACCCGTAACTCTTCTTCTTCTTCGTTGTTTTTTCTTCTGTTTTTTTTCCTCTACTCCTTCTTCTTTTTCTTCTTCTTCTTATTATTCTTCTTCTTCTTTTTCTTCTTCTTCTTCTTCTTCTTCTGCTTCTTCTTCTTCCTCCTCCGTCTCCCGTCTCAAGGAAAAGTAACAGAGTGCGCGCAATCCAGAGATATATACAGAAAGAAAAAGAGAGAAAGAGAGAGGGAGAGAGAGAGAAAGAGGAGAGAGAGAGAGAGAGAGAGAGACAGAGAGAGAGAGAGAGTTGAAGAAAGCAAGAGAGAAAAAGCGGCAAGAGAGATGCTCGTTACACTCGATCGCGCGTACTCACGTTTACGTCGAAGAACTTGGAAAGGAAGACACAAACCTGGGATGGAAATGGTTGTTGGAGAAAACGTTATGCTGAGTTCGGTTGCAGGTTGTTTCCTCGACGGCAGCCGGGTGGCGAGTGGGTGGGCAGGCGGGGTGGCAGGCGGACAGAAGTGGGTGGCTCCGGGTGGCTTGGGAGCTCGAGCGCCGTGTGGGTGGTGGGAGTGGGGTGAGGGAACCCAATACCACCCTTCTCGCCCATTCAATCCTGCAGTATTAGGGGGAGCAGCCGAGCCTGTTCCTCCTCCTCCCCCTTGCCCTCCCCCTCTTCCTCCTCCTTCCCGTCCCTTCCCTTCCCACTCCCTTCCCCTCCATCACTAGTGCCACCTCCTCCTCCTCCGACACTCCCCACCCCCACCCTCCCACCTCCACCCAGCCAGGCTACGTCCAACGACGAAGACGACGATGACGACGGATGGACGACGACGAAGAAGGCTCTTTGTGCGTGAGTGCGAGCGCGTAGGTGTGTACTCGCGCACACGCTCCTTTTCCCACTCCTCCGACCCCCTTCCTCTGCGTCCCTTCTCGCTCTTTCTCTCTCCCACCGCTTCCAGCATACGCTCGCCCATCCGTCCATCCGTTCGCACGTGTTCGGTGTAGCAGCAGCAGCAGCAGCAGCAGCAGCAGCAGCAGCAACAGCAGCAGCAGCAGCAACAGCAGCAGCAACAGCAACACTGGCAATGACGACTGCCTGGCAACTCAGGGGCGGATTTTATACGGGTAAAGGGCTGTTATGAGGGACAAGGACGAAGGAAGGAGTTTTTCCTAGACTTTTCAATCCCTATGGGACAAAGGCCTTTTCAACGATTCTCTTGAAAATCGTATAGTCCGTTAAAAGAAACTTCCTTCTTTTCGTATCAAAAGAAAAGCGAGCTTCGAAGAAGATGAATATCAAATGTCTTTCTTTTCGTTTCTTCGATATCCGCCCGTAATCGTTCTGTAAAGATCTTTCGCAACAAAATGCCAAAGCGTTTTATCATAAAAAAAGATACTTCTTTAATCGATTCTAGCGTTTTATTTTTTCTTTTTTTTCTTTCCTTCTTTTTATTCAAATTATCTTACTTTACGTTTGATCAAATATCCGTCGTAATAGCGTATTAATTAGCGGTACGCGGTTTTATAAAAGCATTTTATTTAACGATTTAACTGTTTTATCGATCGTTCTTACGGTCGGTATTATCGGCTCGTTCCCTGTGTCGGTAAGTTTGCTTTGTCGGTAAGTTGATACACGCCTCGTCGATAGTTTCGACTCGATTTCTTCCATCGATAAAAGTAGAACTCTTCTATTATCCATTTATTTTTTAAAGCGCGATCGACGAGTATTATAATATATACATACGCTCTCTTAAAATACATACGCGATGAGTAAAAAGAAATGTATGAAAACGTATGTGAATGTACGTATTTGAAACTAGAAAGGCACGAAATTTTTCGAATATTTTCAAACGTGAACAGATCCACCGTATAGAATTACTTACGCGAGCGACGTACGATAATAAATAGGATCTGGCTAATAATAAAACATCGATTATGTCGGTGTCAGATATTTATTTTACATCAAAGAGCAAAAAGTTCGATCAAATCGGAATCAGTTTTTCGTTGCGTAAACGAAAGATACGTAAGTATTCATATTCTTACGAAATTTTCTTCATTTTCAGTTGGTTCAAGCGGCTACGAGATAAAAGTAAATGAAAGAAAAAGAAAATGAGGAAGAAGAAAAAGATAATAAATAAAAAAAGATGTCTCTCGATCGCGAGGAGGGTCCGCTTTTACGTAAGTATGTGTTAAACGAAGATCGATTAACATCTCCCCATCGAATATAAGCGATGTGCGACGGAACAACATGCTCGGTTAGCGTTACGTTGCCACAGAGAGCGGTTTACGAGGATGAACACGGACGTCAGTTGGTACGTCACATCGCGCGAGATGCGCGTGGTTGGCCGTCATCGTGCAAATAGGATCATTCTTCTTGCTTGCAGGTTCTTGACGTCTCTCGCCTATAGTCGCAAACGAGAGGAAAAAGCATTCGTTTCCGGAGAATGCATTTTTTTCTCTCATCGTAGGATTTATGGGAAATATTAATGAATACGATTCTACAACGGTAGGATGAACCTATTAGAATCTTTCTCTTTTTAAAGTATTATGAAAAGCGCGATGATAAGAGCTCCCGAGGTCATTCGCATTCACGACCGTTCGTAGAAGAAGCGGAGCGCGAGGGAGACGCGTATTACGATCGGCGTCGGCGTCGGCCTCGGCGTCGGCGTCGTTGCCTTTCACCCGCGAGGGAGAGAGAGGCGAAGCGCAGTGGTGGTCGTAGCGTCGCGTAAGCGCGTGACCGCCATATTGCCCGAACTCTCTCTCTCTCTCTTTTAGATACGAAGAGAGCTCGACGTCGAGGAGGAGGACGACGACGACGACGACGACGACGACGACGACGACGACGACGACGACGACGACGACGACGACGACGACGACGACGACGACGACGACGACGACGACGACGACGACGGTGACGACGACGACGGTGACAACGACGACGACAGGGACAAAAGGGACGAAGACCTGGACTTTTCGAGTCGATGTAATATCCGATCTATCTCGATGCCCTCGTCGAGAGTTTACCTACGTGAACAGAGTGAAACGTGCTGGAAGAAAGAAGAAAAGCAGAAAATATCAATAAAGATGCTGCAAGAGAACAAGATATAAACTAGAAAGGCCGAATCACTGTATTTTTTGTGCCTTCTTCATTCTTCAAATTTACTAGCATCGATCATTTGGATTTTGACGAAAAAATAAAAGAAAAGCGCATAGGACTGGCTAAAGATGAATTCCTGGCGCGAGGATGCGTAGCTGCGTGAATTACCTATTCGACGAAAAATAAAAAAAAGTAATAGTCGAATTTCGTGAAGAAAAAGTGGTGAAAAATCAAGAATCTTTGCTATTCAGGAGAGATAACTCCTGGAATCCTCTTCCTTGCGTTCTACAGCGTGACAGTGCCGCGAGCTCCTCTCTCCCTCTGGTCTCGACCTCTGCCAATCAATAACCGACAGACCGACTTGCTCGACGTCGCTCTACTATTCTCTTTCTCTCTCTTTCCTATCTTTTACACGTATCTCTCTCTCTCTCTCTCTCTCTCCTCCCCCCCCTTTCCACAAGCCACACGCATGTTTTCCTTCGCTCCTTTAGGCAAACGATACGCGTGGAAGTAAAGAAGACGGTGCCTGCAAAACAGTAAAACTAACTACAGTTTGCAGAAGAAAACACGGAACAGCGGAAGGAAGTAGCGACGACGAAGAGAGAGAGAGAGAGAGAGAGAGAGAGAGAGAGAGAGAGAGAGA